ACACCCGCCCGCGTCTACTTTTGACAGCTGCGTGAAATTTTCATTATTTTATATTTTCTCATTATTTCCATTTCCCCCAATCTTTATAATGTTTGATAAAGCTATTTTATGCAATACATCAAAATTCACTTAACAGATGCATTCGGAATTGGTTTGAAATAAGTCCACTGTCCACACGTTCTGGAAGTGTCGGGAAAAGCTCATGGTTGCGTTCCAAAAGTATAGTTGTAAACACACCTTTTTTCCACCATCCCTGAAATGAATAATTATTTTTCTTAATTTCGGTAAATAACCTTCGAAAGTTCAGCTGACGGCAAACTGATACCTTGATAATTCCGGCCGTTGGCATAAATACAGCTGGAACACTACCATTTTAGGGTCATTGGTAAAGTGAAACCAAATTTTTTACTCCAATGACTCCCAAAGCCCCGCGACACGTGTCTTGACCACTCGGTCGCGTTTTTGCCATCATGCCTGGTCAAAACCGATAGTGGGAATGAAGATGCATATTTTGCATAAATTGCCTCGTGTAACATGACCTTTAGAGCAAGCAAGTTTATACGAGGGGCAGGACGGAACGTATCATTACAAGTATATTTATTTCATTTATTCCGTGTGATGCCTATAAAATCTTTAAAATTACGATATGTTTTAAGTATACTTGATTTTGAATACGTGCAAGTGTCATATAAAAAATTGATCAAAATTGCCAACATACAAATTTTGCTGGCCCATATCGGTCAACAAAGAAAACTTGCTGAAGCAATATGAGAATTTGCATGTGGTTAGCCAGCGGAATATTGTTGTGGCCTTTTATTGCGCGCTCGTATTGGGGGAAATGGAAATAATGAGAAAATGTAAAATAATGAAAATTTCACGCAGCTGTCAAAAGTAGACGCGGGCGGGTGTTGGTAAACTGATACCTTAATTTAATTCCATTGGCCTATAACATGGCCTTTAGATCGACAAGATTCAAACATTGTTATTAAATTAAGCGGTCTCACCTCGGTTTACCCGTGCGGTCTTCGATTTTAGGATTTGCTCGGTGTGGATGTCTTTTGATCGACTTTCACCAAAGTCCGTCAGCTTACATATGAGTGGCTTAATGGAAGCCATGCATTCGACTGCTCGTGTGTCTGTGAGACGATTGTAATGGTGGTTAGACACCAATATATTTTCAGGTTTCAGGTCACGGTGGGCAATCCCTTTCTCGTGCAGATACTTCAAACCCAACGCGACGTCCAAGGAAGAATGAATAAATATCGAGCAATGCATGCCATGGCAATCTGATTGTTCGCAAACTGCCAAGAAATTGGCTAAGCTATGCACAGTGATGCCGTCGTTTCCGCGGATTGGCGTAAAATCAAAATACACATATTCAAGCAACACAGCGTACTTGTCCAGACAAACTCCTTCAAACCTGACAACATTCGGGTGTTGCAACTTGCTAAGTAGTCGTGCTTCTTTAACCAGCGACTTCCTAGCTTCATTGTCAGACGCTAATAGCTTCTTCACAACAATCTTAGCTCCATTGTCCGGCAGCTTCGCGGTAAAAACAACCGCGAAACCACCTTCCCAATTTCGTCTTTTTCAAGTAAAGAACTATACGAATAGTTGGGCAATCCTGACGTATCAACAGTTTCGCGAGTAGGTTGGCTTGTTTTCCCCAAACTGCCAAAAAAAAGACATTTGGCTTCGCTTGCCTCACAAACACAACCGTGCTGTGGCAGTTAAAGATCGAAAGGAAGTTTCATGTCAAAGTCTATGCTGACAAAAGCTATATCATATTACCTTAAATAGCCGTGCGCAAATATACAAAGTGGACATTGCCACATTGTCCTGTACTTCGCAAGCTTTGTGCTTTGCAAGAGCAATTTTCATAAGAATTCATCTTAATAAGACTCGGCATTTGGGGATTATATGCATGTCGCTGATGTAGACAATCCCTGTTTTAAAATTGACCTTTTTAAGCGGAAGCACAGATAAAAACTAATGTAACCTAGCGTTTGTAAACAGCCTGTAAACTACTGGTTTCGTATATAGTTGGAAACTAATTGTTTGTGAGTTTAATACCAAATCATATATATTAATTAATTGGACATTTGACATCGGCAAAGCGGGTTTATATCGGAATCGTGCTGTCACAGTAATGAGTATTTCTCTCAACTTTGGTATTGTTTACATTTATAATTTAATCAGATTGAGAAAGAATGTACCTCGATTACATCCGACGAAACAGTTGGACTTTTGTTAAAATACGACATTGGCAAGTACGTTAGTAAACCTTATGTATTAATATTTCTTCGTACGAGTTGTTTTATCGCGTTCAAATACTCACTCGATTACGCGATATTTGCGCAAATGAAATTGGACCCGAGTTTAAGCAGATGTCTAACGTATTTAATTAGAATTTTCAGCGTTACAAAGGTTCGAAAAACCCCGCATTTCCACAATTTAATATTTTATCATTTTTTCGACAATTTATTACGATTAATAATAGTCTTAATTACATTTCCTAAAAAACGCGGATTTGATCCCCCCCCCGTCCATCCGCTTGTCCCGTCCGTCCGTCCGTCCATCCGTCCGTCCGCCATCCGTCCGCCGTCCGCCATCCGTCCGTCCGTCCGCCATCCGTCCGTCCGTCCGTATCCGCGTTTTATCCTTACCCCGGCAAAAGTCTTATTTTTAATATCAGGTCCTACCGGCGTTGTTTTCTGAGCTACATCGCCTTCTTCGTGGTACGATTGAGAATTTCATTGTTGCTGTTGCTAATAGCCCGTTTTAATAAAGTATATCCCTAATATCCGCGTCCAGCAAGTTGAGACCTTGAGAAAGCTTGGCAGTCAAGCCGTGCACAGAACTGACTAATTAAATCTTTGTCTGAATCGTATTTATATAAAAGTACCTTGAAATTTTAAGTTTAATTATAAAGCAAAATGCACACTCTGCGGACATGTTCATGAGAATATAATTTTTTTGTGTAACGAAATCTACAACACTTGTCAATCATATTGCATGATGTGTTTAAAAATAACATGTGGGCGTCCTATGGTCTAGACAGGTTTTGTGTCAGGCCCTATTTCAAATTAGGGCCTGAATTGAACTTCAGGTTAGGAGAAAACCCATGACTTTCTTCGGCAGAGTTGACTGACTCTTTTCACATGAGTTCGTAGCGAGAATCGAACTCACGATCTCAGAGCCGAGGTGAAAGGTGCTTGCTCTGACGTCACCGAAGCGACTACGTCAACAATTTACCCGCGGATTGTCTTGAAAAGGCAACTCCTTGCTTATGTGCAGACGATACTGAAATTTCCTCGTAATAACCTGACGTCTTATACTTATGTGACATTATTGTGACGTGACGTGACGTGACTTGTAGTTAAATTATAACCACTCAAAGAGCGTGCCTTGTATTATCATACTATAAGAATACTACATTGGCGACGAGGATCAAAATAACTCCACATGCGCTATGGCCTCATCTTTACCAACATTTCGCCTTCGTTCAATGTTGGAGACGACCCCACCGCGACCGGTCAACGCTGGACTAAATGGAAAAAACGTTTTGAAAATTTTCTTCTTGCCATGGATATCGACGATAAGACACGCAAACGCGCACTTCCTTTGCACTATATTGCTCGTCAGCATTTGATATATTCGAGACCTTAATTAACGGATACCGATGACTGACGAGAAAGACTACAAGAAAGCGATGGACCTCCTAACCGAACATTTTATTTGACAAACTTGACAAACTTGAACGCCAGGGTATTATCGAACCGGTTGATGGCCCAACTCCTTGGGTGTCCCCTCTCGTTGTCACACCAAAACCAAAGAACCCTGTATCGATACGCGAGCTTACGCGCCAACCTAATCGTGCGATCCTTCATGAACGTCGTATTACACCGACTATTGATGCCCTAATTCATGATCTAAACAGTGCCACCGTTTTCTCTAAAATTGATTTGAACTCTGGTTACCATCAACTCGCACTCGAAAGCCGCTATATCACAACGTTTCCCACGCACAGAAGACTTTGCCGCACACCCGCTTAAATTTTGGTACGTCATCCGCCGCCGAAGTCTTTCAACTTGATGCCATGCAACAAGTTCTCAGTGGTATGGTGCTCGTAATGTTAGCGATGACATCATCATTTTTGGTGCAGACGTACCAAGCGGCACATGACAAAGCGCTTCGTGCCTTTTTGAACGTTTACGCTCTAAGCACCTTACCTTGAATGCCAAAAAGTGTGAGTTCAACAAATCCAGCATCGACTTGTTTTGGGTATATACTGATAGTGAACTAGTGAACTCCTTTCACTGCATCCGACCCGGCTGAAGAATATATCGCGTTCTTAGCAGAACCTATGACCGTTTCTGAAGTGAAACAATCCACCCGTGCCGACCCCACTCTGCAAGCCGTTATCGACACCCTTCGTAACAACTCCTGGCACTCCACTCTTGAGACACCCAGTCCCCTTGTCAACTCCCAGGACCTCCACGCTCTCTACAATATCCGCGACGAACTGAGTGTCAGATGATCATGATCTCCTTCTTCGCTCTCACCGTCTCATCCTTCCCCATGCCCTTCGTCAACGTGCTCTCCACATCGCCGATGAAGGTCATCAAGGCCTTATCAAACCTTGGTGACCTTCATGGGCGACCTCCTTGGCAACCTCCTTGGCAACAACTCTTTGTCGATTTCTGTGGCCCTCTTCCCTCCGGCAATATGCTCTTCGTGGTAATCGACAAATATTTGCGCTATCCCGAGGTTAAGATTGTTCGCTACACCTCTGCAAATACCGTTAGCCCGAAATTTGACCGTATTTTACCCACGTATGGCATTCCTGCGGAAATCAAGTCTGACAACGGACCTTCATTTCAAAGTCACCCTTTCGCACAGTACATGGGGTTTCACTACCGAAAGATCACCCCGCATTGGCCAATTCTGAGTCTGAACGGTTTATGCGAACAATTCAGAAAACACTCTGCGCTGTCCACGTCCTTGAAAACAAGAATTGGAATTTTCCTCCGAAACTACAGTGCGACGCCACATGCATGGAGTCCACCACAGAAGTTTCCCCCGCCGAGCTTCTCTTTGGAGCAGACCCTTTTGACGACACCGGACCATCCTGCAAAAATTAGGCGTTATCTCACAAGAGAAAATAGGAGACCTCAAGAGAAAATAGGAGACCTCCTCCTAGAACGTTTAAATATTAAATATAAGCACTAACAATCTTTCAACTAACTATGTTTTATTACTACATATATATACTTCATTTTAGATCATTGGTTATATAATTAGTTCAAGTTACTTAGTTGATTAGTTCATATTACAAATTCATCTTAGAAAAACTGTAACGCATGTTTTTTAGGTCTGCCCGTAATCTTAGCAAGTTAGATTGTGATTGTCCTGATATGATCAACAATCAACGAATTAATTCGTCGTGTTAAATGGATTATGACTCGGAGTCGAGCTTGATGAAATGTCCATACAATGGTCATCTCTTATGTGCAAATGGTGTTAAACCTGACCCGTCCGTAAAATGCAAGCCATCTTAAAAATACCATGTCCTCACGAGCAAACAAGAATTGCAACAATTTTGGGGAATGTTAACTTACTGTACCAGTGTCCAATTTTTTACCAAACATGGCTGACGTTTCTGCACCATTAATTAGAAAAAAATATAGAAAAACTGTTAAGTGGTGGATCTACGACACACCTAGACAGTTTCGACTCATTGAAAATTCCTATTACGAAAGTACCTCTTCTTAAATACTACACTACACCATTGGCCATAAATGAAAAAACAGTTTTCTTATCAGTGGATACCAGTTCCATTTTTGCTTTGTCTATAAGATCGTAAAGAATCTCATTTACAGGCGCTAAAAACGGCAAAGTTTGAATGGATTGCTGGCTAATAAGTCAGATGCACCAATCGAGACTCGTTCTTACTGAGTTGTTAACGATGCTCTTTGCTTAGAGGAGAACAGTCAAACATTCCATGATTCCAGTTAGTAAAAAAACTCTTACCTCAGGGAAATCTCACATACAACATCAACTACTATGAGTACTATCCAACCTAATGTACTGGATATTTTGACCTCGGACAATGATCCACTGACAATAATTTGAATGTTCACAGAACTATCGAAGACCGAAGGGAAATTGGAGACTGAAGTTTATAAGACAAATCCGTAAGAACCAGGTAAGAACCAAAACAATTCACCGAGGGTGATTCCTCTCTCAAGGGTTATGCAGTAGTTCCATATATACAGTATACATTCAAGGTGTTACAGAACTAGTAATCAAGATAATCTTAAGTAATTGTAATATTAAGTTTGCGTTGACTTTAGGCCATATTTTCGCAAAGCCGAACGACTATCCTGTTCAAACAAAGCATAAAACTCATGTTGTCTATTCTATACTATGTGGTGGCTGTGAGCAGTGGCGTAGACAGGGTCTAAACGTTGGGCCGGGGGGGGGGGAATTTTTATGGCATTTCGAATGCGAGCGCCAAAGGCGTGAGGAATCTAAGGGGTCCACAAAAAGCCAGTGGCTTAATGTCGTTAATCAGAAAAAATATTGTTCTAAAACATTGTACTGTACACGCAAGCTCACTTGGCCGCAATATTTGAACTTTGAAGTCGCGGTCATGACTGCTGCTAAGCGCGCAAATTCAAGTTCAAATTTACTGGAGTTACTATTCTGGATAGGGAAGACTACAACTTTTATTGGTAAACAGAAGAGACGGTATCATTATTCACATATATCATATTTTAGTGTTGCTGTTCTATCACTATCCAAAGTGTACTATGTGTGGACCATAAAAAAACTGAAAGAGACGGGTATCATTATTCACACATCGTACCCCCCCCCCCCCCAATTTCTGCCCGGATTTCAGCTTTTCTGATCGAAGGGCAGTCCTTTTGCCCGTTGAGGGGGGAGCCCCCCCCCCCCCTTGGCTACGCCACTGACTGTGAGAAAGAGTATCTGGGTCAATCTTAACGCCAGGTTGGCACACGCCTAAAAGAACATCAAAGGCTGTTTCAACTTTAAATAACTGAATAAGGGGAAATCAGCTTTAGCAGAACATGTGTGTGACACCAAAAACGTGATTGGGTGGGAAAACTCCACCACTAATCAGTGTTGACACGGGTCATTGACTCGGACTCGCATTTTCTGCGACTCGACTTAAACACGAGAAGTGACTCCAATGACTCGACTTGTTGATTTCTGCCGTAAATGACTCGAGTCAACTCAGCTACGTTACAACGTGTTCAGGATAAATTCATTAAAAGTATTGCAGTTGAATAGGTTGGGAAGCGTCCTGAAAGGGCTTGAAGAAATAAAAAGTAATTCTCGATGCAGATAGGCAAGTAGTAAAAGACCCCTATCTGGCGGAATTTATAATGAGCTTCCAGAATCTATGACGTCAATTTGTTCAGCTAACATTCTGGCGGATTTTATAATGAGCTTCCAAAATCTATGACGTCACTTTGTTCAGCTAACACTCTTGGCGGAATTTATAATGAGCTTGCAAAATCTATAACGCCAGGTAGCGTGACCAATTAACGCGGGCATGCAAGCCTGGGCCAAATGTGACAGGTAACGCAACCAAATGTCCGAAACAGTCATTAAGCAGAGCTCGGAATTTTCAGTACAAAAGACAACGCTTGCTATAGCTATATTGCCATTTCGTTGTGAAAGCCATACGATGGAGTGTCTGCATGGAAAAGCCACATCTTACAATTTATTGGAAGGAATATATGCGAATGCAGTCGCACAAGAAGTTGAAAGACTTTGTGTGGAATCCTGTAATGGTTGTCAAGTCGGTCATCCTAGTTAAAGGCAACATGACTGCCCCATGATGAACGAAAACGAACGATGGCAAATGTATGGTTTACAAGCGATCGAACGTTTGTCGATTCATTGATGGAACTACATCAGAACACTGAGAACCACGAACTACAATGTATACTGAACTATTTGTTTCATTGGGGATTAGAAGATCCGCTCGAGTCCGTAGCTGAAGCGTTTTTCTCTTGCCCACCGAGTTACGTGTATTCTGTGAAGGCGACGGGTGAACGATTTAGAAGTTTTGAGGCCGATCATAAAATTGCTTATCAAGGATTCTTGGAGAAAAAACTTGTAGAAGAGTTTAACAAACAGTTTTAGTTGTAATATTTTTGACACTATAGTCTGTTATTAATTTGTATCAATAAACATGTTTTAAACTTTGCAAATGTTGCGTTGTTATGCGTTGCTAAGTCATTAGGAGGCGTGTAGGTAATTAAGGGATTAGGCGAACAAAAATCTGCATAACTAAGTGTATCCCAATGGATAGATGGGGATATAATTACGTGTTTGGTGTAAGCATAGTTTATTTGATTTTTATGTCAAGGAAACTGTAATGCCTTGGTGGCCGAATGGTATGGCATTGGGGTTTGTCGCAAAATAAGGGGGTTCGAGTCGATCCTCACATGGCGAAATTTTTATCGAAATGTATAGCAGAGTTATACCCATCTCGGAAGAGATAAGTCGCGTATACTGTAGCAGATAGATTTATAACGCAGGTGTATGCCTTAAAATCGGGCGCGAGGCTTTGTGGCTAAAAGTTTGCACAAGATTTCAGTTTTAAAATACATTTATTTCTTTAAGTAATACAAAGTTAATAGTAATTCTTGTCTGTATAAATATAATATTATCCACTAGTAAGAGTTTTGTCCCGTTTTTGTTTCTAACTTTAACCACTCCTTTGAGCCATCATTCATTTTAGAAGTTAAACGAAACTTACCTGGAAGTTGAAGTTTGACTGGAATTCTATCCCATAAGATTAGTAACCAAGGACTGACATGAAGAACGAACGCAGGCTCACCGGGAGTGACATCACATCATTATTTGAAAGCAACGCACAGTGACCAAGCATAAACAGAACCAACAAGCAATATCATCAGACTGACAACCCAGTAGGAGTGGGCGGGTGGGCTTGTTAGTCCTTGGTTACTAATCTTATGGGATAGAATTCCAGTCAAACTTCAACTTCCAGGTAAGTTTCGTTTAACTTCTAAATTCTATCCCATAAGTCGTAACCTACGGACTGACATGAAGTCTTCAAAGCATGCGAGGTCGCTGTGAGTACAAAAAATACCGACAATACAAACTTATGCAAATAAGTTTAATCTGAATGTTTAGAAATAAATAAATAAGTTTCCCTTATACACACTATCCAACCACTGAAACACAATATTCTAATAAATATTACGTACGATAAGTGTAAGATCTACTCAATAACCCCTTTGTAATAGAAGCGCCTAAATGTGGTAGCATTACTCCAACCTGCTCTTTGCAGAATTTCATCTACTGGAAGATCTGCTGCATAGGCTGCTGTTGCAGCCGCGTGTCGTGTAGAATGTGGTTTGAATAAAGTAATGTCAATACCAGCACCGGCTAAGACAATTTTAATCCATCGAGCTAAAGTTTGAGATCCAATAGCACGATGCGGTTTTATCGTTGCAACGAGTAAATTGACACTTTGTCGTAAATGTTTAGTCTTCTCAAGATACGCTTCTAAACATAAATATGGCCAAACATCAGAATCCAAATTGTATCTAGGAACAATAACAGGTGGAACTGAATAATTTGGTCTGCTTTGTTTGATATGCTTATCAAGAACAAACACAAATTGAACATCTGATTGTATCATGCAGCCATTGTTAATATTGAGGTGTATTAAAGTTTGCTTCCGCTGAATAGTCACCAAAGCCAATAACATTGTTAATTTGTGACTAAGCTCTTTAAGACTTAAACCACTGTTAGGGGTGAACGTTTTCAGATAAGCCAAAACTGTTTGGACATCCCAGATAGCATGATGTTTATTAGCAGGTGGTTTCCGTTCAAATGCCCCTTTTAGGAAACGACAAACTATTGGGTGCTTCCCCACTGGAAAGTTACCAATAGAAAGAAAACATGATAACGCTGATCTGGCACTGTTAATACTAGAATATGATAAATGCGATTGTGTGTACAAGAATTCCAAAACTTGATTTAAAATAGGGGAATGTGCAAGAATTTTCCTTTCACGACAGAATAAATTCCATTTTTTAAGATAACTCGCATACTGTTTTTGTGTAGAAGTTCGCCATGAATCGAGGAGTACACCGGTAATGTGGTCAGAAAAGCCCTGGTTCTGATAATGTTGCCGGACAAGGGACATGCCATCAACTTCAGTTTTCCTTGCATGCTGTGAACCTTGCCTAATGGGTGTCTCAATAAGTCCACTTGAGGGGTCCACAACAACAGCTTTGGCTGCTGAATGAGCATCTGTAGAAGAAGAGGGTACCATGTTTGTGTGGGCCATGCAGGGACCAGTAAAATCCCTTCGGCTTGGTCTCGAGAGATTTTCTCCAGACATTTCGGAATGAGACTAAAAGGAGGGAAAGCATAAAAATATTCATTCGCCCATGATACACTAAAAGCATCCACTATTGCAGCATGTGGATCCGGGTGCCAAGAGGCATACCGTGCTACCTGTTTGTTCA